ACACGGACAGTAAGGATATTGTACAAACTGGCGAATGAGTATAAATACGTCTTTAAAGTTATCCGCATTGAAGAAATTCTTTGAGGGATGTTTGAGGACGGAATACTTCACCTTTTTGGGGTTTCTTTTAATTTTCTTAAATTTGAAAAATCCAATTAACATACAATGATTATGTAACGGTATGGGAGTGAAAAGTACACTTGCTATACTTAACTTTGAGATAAAGGATACATAACACAAAAACAATTTTGTTTGCCTTTCCATGTTTGTATAATAAATCAGTTTATAAAAAAAAACTTAATCTATTTTCAGATATTGTTTTTTTCTGCTTATAAATGGAGAATACCAGTTCAACAAGATGTAATAATTTTTAGAGTTCTGAATAAAAGTTGAAAAAAGTGATATGGGCTAGAGAGTATATATAAAAATTATAATTGCAAATTATATTGAATATTTATACTCATTCACGGAAGTGAATTTGTATATTGCTTCTGTGCAATGTCCGTCTTGGCCTACTAGGGGCGTAGCAAATCGGGAAAATGCATTTGCCGATATACCAGAAATCATATGAGTTGAAGAGGTAGAATGCTGAAATTTGGAATGTAGATCCGCGTTGACCACAAAAGATCACGAGCTATGGCGGATATATCTACGCCCATTGGGGACGTGGAAAATCGGATAAACGGTATCTCCAAGAGTTTTACAGCTAGAGTGCTGAACTTTTGCACGTAAGCTAATGTTATTATTTTAGAAAGCCTAATGACAAAATAATATGTCTACGTCCTTTAGGGACGAGGCAAATCGGAACTGAAGATAAAATGATTTTATAAATTCTACTATATTTTGGACACTACTGATGCTAGAGAATTTTGTATATATACTCGGGCTGACCACCCAAGACCAAAAAGCTTGGACGCGGCTTGGACGTGGCAAACCGCAAAAGTTTATATCTCCTAAAGTATAATATCTAGAAGCTTCAAACTTGGATAGGTAAGTTACTAGTTACCTCCTCTATCGATATCCTGAGCCCTCTAATCTCATTATGCACTTCTTTTACGCACATATGCAAACACACGCATCCAGACGTACGTATAATCACGCGCTCTGTTGTCCGCGCAATTAGCACCGACAATACTTGGGTTGCACTGCAGTGTGGGCAATATACTGAGAATTTATTATTTTCTAGATCTCTGAAATCTCTGTATTGACCAACTGTATATACACTGTAAATCTGAAGACTCCAGGTCTAAAATTGTTCAAATTAGGCTGAAAAAAAATATATGTTTTACGATTATTCTCGAGTTATCGAAAAAAATATGATAAACTTGTACTGCGTATGGTATACACGAGTATGCATGCCGTCAAGTCTTTAGCTCTTATAATTTCTGAGATCGACGCACTCATACGGACGGACGGAGCTAGCTCAGGTCGTTGCCCTGATCAAGAATCTATATATACTTTATGGGGTCTGCGATAATTCCTTCTGCCTGTTACATACTTTTCACAAAACCATTACCCTGATTTCCCATTTGCAATACCTTCAGGGTATAACAAGTAAGAAGACTCCTGTCGTGACTGCTCGACTAGGAGATACCCTGAACCCTCCATGCTGATATTCTAATCATTCTGCATTTATTTTATGCACACATACATACACATGCATCCACACGGTCGTATAAGCACGCGCTCTGCTAAATTGCTTTAAAATGTAATTATTTTATTATTAAAATTTGAGTGCAACATGTAATTTTATTGCCATTCACTTAATCCATTTCCGTTTCCCGTGCATTTTCTGGTTCAGGTTGAAGCCATAGCCTCATAAGTCGGTCGGTCCGAACAGTCAGGCTAGAGCATGTAGATGGATATGTATTTATAACGAAATAGGCCTTTCAATTCCCTATTTACGCTGTTAATTTTCTTTTTATCTTTACAAACGGTAATTTGTGCAAACATCAAAGCAACCATGGCGAAGACCACCAAGCCAAATGAATTTTCCACTTTGATCCCGCCGTATCTAGGACCCTCTTTGTAGTTGCTAATCGCGCCAGGTGACGGATGCGTCGGCTTGACACAAAATAATGCTACGGCGGCGTACCCGAAGTGACAAGAAAATAGTTTTGAGGTGTCTTGTTTCGTACGCCGAGCATTGTGAGAAAAGTAGCAGTTCCCGTCCCTCACTTACCTTTGTGATTTTTGCTACTCGTGCTCATCCTCGTGCAGAGAAGCAAACGTGTTGTACTCTGTTTTCGATGGGCTGAACACAGCAGTCCCCGATTTACTTTTAAAATGCCGTCGAATTTAGTATAGCGACGACCACCAGTAACGTTGTAGCATTATAGAGGACCCAAGAAGGTACTGATCTATTGAAGAATTCTGATATGGCGATACGCAATAATTTTTTTCTTTGAAGATAAATCGACGAATGTAAATATCTAAATGTTATCAATTAATCATATTGCTTGATATTTTATTTACAAGTCGCGCTTTTGCCATAAGTATTTACTGATTTGCAAAGCCACTAGAAAGTGTTGCGGCTTTAACACGATGAGGATGTACAGTGAGCAATAAGATTTAGGTACACAACGATTTTTCAACTCAACTATTTTTCTCAACTCCTTTCTTCGACATTTACACGCACACGTCCTATACATGCACGCATACATAAATTCAGTTGTATGCGATTGGAAATGGTTGACTGTTTTCGAAAAGAATTTACCTTGACTGCATTTCACTCTCAAATTGATTCGTTCTACTTGGTTAAGATTCAATAACGAGCTCATTTGAGCAGGCAGATAATCCAAATCTTTGTTGTTTGGTTTGTTTGATTCGCCAATGTTCCAGGTGTTTTAGCAAGAAATTTTAATTTTTCTGCTTATAGTTATGTCCTGCTATTCCTTCTTAATCAATAATGGAAATCCCTTTCGTTTATAAATGCAATTGATTGTAAGCAGATAAAAATTTAAAACATCCTGCAAATATCACATGAATTTCCTAACAAATATTTTTTTTAACGATTACTAAAATCTGCAGTTTCAATGACAATCGGTTGATTATGGCTCAACATCGGTCGAATGGAAATGTTAGCTATCTCTAAAGCCTGGCAAAAGCTGAAGTAAGTTGCTTGATGAACGTTTGTCTTAATAACTTATATCGAAAATCGTAATGTATGCATTATGCAACGATAATCTTCACGATTTGATTCCATTCGTTTCATGAACTCTTAACTCTTTCAGAAAAGTATATGCTGAAATACTAAAGTTTTCAATTCAAATATTACAGCCCATCCCATGTTAGTCTGTTTCAAAAGCGCAATATATTATATGCCTATTGGACTGCTTAGTCGTATAAATTTAATACGAAATGGACGGCTATTTAATATGTTTTTAGTGGAGGATCATAAATATGGCATCTAGTGCTCAAAGTAGGAAGTAAGAAAACTAAATATATGTATGAAGGACATTTAGACATTTACATTGGAATTGGATGACAAGTTTCGATTGCCGTTTAAATCACAATTTTCACAGAGCGTACGCGTAGCATTCCATGTGCCATTTACTATGGTTGGACTTTGAAAAATTTATCTTTGGTCAGCATTAGACCTAAAACTAGAAAGGTCGCGATAGTAAGTGAAACACAATATCACTGGATAGAAGCAATACATCGTCACCCAGTTGGAACAAATTGATTTTCCTTAACGGGCGACAAAGTCGATCCAGTAGAGCAGACCAGAGAAGAATAGTGTAGGATTTTGAGGAACGTGATCTTTGTACTATAATTAAGAATACGAAGGCTCAAGCGTTGCAAATTGGAAGCTGAAAGAAAACATACCAGTTGTCACTGGTAGAGGCCGGCAGTGGTGTCTCCTTTCATACTAAATACAATGGCAACCCGAGCATAAAGGAGCTGCACACTTTGGCCGTTTGTGACTCCTGCTCGTCGACGCAGACGCATCTAACAGAACGCGTGGGCTGGAACTTGTCAATGCTTGGTTTGCTGTCTGGACTTTTTGACTGTTTTTCTTTTTATTTCTTGGAAATAAACCTATGTTAAATCAATTGGTTCCAAATCGTTGAAATTCAATTGTGAAGTACGTTTCGTTTCAGCTGTTCGACACGATCAATTTTCCATTTTACGCTCGTATCACTAGCTCACCACACAGGCTCACATCAAATGCAGTTCCAGATGTGTAAAAGTAGTTGCAAGCTTGTTGAAATGACACCGAAAAATTGCAATTTGCACGATTATTTTAAACTAATTTTATTACTCAATTTCCCAACTTACACATAATAGAAATATGTTAATATGCGCTGAATAAAAAATAAAATAGATAACACATTTTTGCTCTTTTGCTATCCTGAACGAAAATATTGTGGGGTGTCTGTCGGTCCGTCCGTCTGTTATTAAAAAATTAAGTTCCCAGCCCATGTGGTTTGTGTGCATGCGTATATCTGTATATGTGTGTCCTGTGTAAGCAGAAAGTCTCGAAGAATTATTGAAATATCTGTTCTTCGAAGGGTTCAGGGGATTTCAAAGTCGAGCAGTCTCGACCAAAGCTTTCTTACTTGTTATACCCTGAACCCATTGAAAATGAGAAATCATGGTATAATGTGTTTGTGGAAAAGTATGTAACAGGCAGAAGGCAGAAGAAGTATCGCATGCATTCCTAGCAGCAGAAAGACAAGGAAAAGATAAGCAGCATAAATGTGGCATGCATAGAGCTAGTATTAGACTCTTTGCTTTGCTAACAATTTTCGCTCATTTATGTTAAGGTACTAAGCAATGTCCGCTTTAATAATCACAACATGCTTTCGTCAAAATACTTATGCCGACGAGTGTATGTGTATAAACACATAAACAGATAAGTGATAGAAACATATGTATACGCCTATGACCCATAATCAGGTAGATTGCACTACCTGACAGCTATTGCCTTTATCGTATTTTTGCAGTGGTTGTTTGTCGAACAGAAAAATCGTATAAAAGGCAGTCTCATCAGAAGAGGATTTCATTCTTGTTCGAGCTCTCATGTCGACCAGATCAGTTTTGATATCCAACATTAAAATGATTGCCGAAAACGTGCCACAATGCAACACCCTCGAGGACTCTGAGAAGAGGTCGTTTACAGGCGCTGTAGTCAACCTGAGAAAACTATTGAAATCAGTTAAACGTATTTTCGCAACTTCGAGGAGAGCATCACCGTCGGAGGAGCACTTCTCGGAATCGACTGCGAGTAGTATTCCTACAGAAGAGGAGCTTCAGAATTGGTTGAATGAGCAAATCGAATCCAAACTGGCGCTGCTTCGGTAACGGGACTCTAATCAATGGATATTGATAATAAACTGTGATGGGACTTGTGCTCCGGCACGATTCCAATATCTACAAATGGCTTTATATTCTCTTTGTGATAGCAAGAGTAATTAGTTGATGAGTAGCTAGACGACTCGAAGTCTTGAAAGTCACCCTCTCTTTCAAATGATATAAGTTAAGCTAAGTACTCGATCTTATGTCTTCCATCAGTTTTAAGTAACTTAAATTTTTTGTGTAAATAAAATAAAGCATAAAAAAAAAAAAACATTTCACTGATTTTGTTTTTTAAGCTTTTTTATGACAAAACGACAAAATCATCTTAAAGATTAGTTAAAGACAAGGTTTACAATGACCCACTATCAAATTCAGAGGTTTGAATTCTAAGACTAAAGAATATAGAACTGGCATATGTGATATTTGGTCAAATTAATCATATGTTAATAGATAGAATACTGATGGCGTATGTTCAGATATATAATTTGGTTCAGAAGCATAGGAATATTACTTTTTTGATCAAATTATAATGAATAGATCCACACATAATAAAACAAGTAAGAGGACTCTAGTCGAGACTGCTCGACTAGGAGATACCCTAAACCCTCTAATCTGATATTCACTCTGCACTTCTTTTCGGCACACATACATACACACGCACGTATTAGAACGCGCTCTGCTAACTGCGCAGTAAGCAGCGACTGCGCTTGGGCTGCGCTGTAGTGTGGGCAACATTATAAGAATTTCTTTGTTGAATAATTTAATTTCTAGACGTACAATCTTAATGAAACTTTCAGAACATAATCATAATGTTCAAATGTATGTACATTCCAAAGCACAAGTCTCTAGTACTTGAAATACGTCTTTTACAAAGGTGAGGGTGAGGGGGTGGATATAGGGGTGAGGGGAAAATTACAACAAAAATCGAAATTATATAAAATATATATAAGTCTACATTTAAAACTTGGAAGCTCTAGCTCTAAAGGTGTAGGAGATATAATTAAATAACTAGCATTCGATAAGGTTTTTGATCGATAATAAAATATCGGGAGTAGTTATCGATATTTAAAGAAAAACTTGATATGCGCGTGATATACACGGACCTAGGAAAAAAAATTTCAAGTCTCTAGCTCTTATATCTTCTGAAATCGACGCGTTCATACATACGGACGGACGGACGGACGGACGGACGGACGGACGGACGGACAGACAGACGGACAGGGCCAAATCGACTTAGCTCGTCGCCCTGATCAAGAATATATATACTTTGTGGGGTCTGCCACGCCTCCTTCTGCCTGTTACATACTTTTAACAAAACCATTATACCCTGATTTCCCATTTTCAATGGGTTCAGGGTATAAAAAATGTTTGGCTAAAAACTGCTCGACTACGAGATCCCCTGAACCCTTCCAGCAAATGATATTTCAATAATTATTCATACATGCACACACACACGCACACACACAGCCATACGCACGCACGCATAAACGCGCATTGGCTGCAGTGGTGGCTTACTATGGGAACTTATTTGCTTAATAACTTGTCTTGTGGATAACTATCTTCATGAAACTTTCAGATTATAAATATAACATGTATGTGCCAAAGCACAAGTCTCAAGTATTTGAAATACGCCTTTTACAAAGGTGAGGGTGAGGGAGTGAATTAAGGGTGGGGTAAATTTAGACAAAAATCGAAATTCCACAAAGTACATATAAATCTACATTAAAGATTTGGTGACTCTAGCCTTAAAGATGTAGAGAATATAAATTTATTACTGGTTTTCGATAATGTTTTTAATCGATAACAAAATAACGGGAAAAGTTATCGATATTTAAAGAAAAATTCTATATGCGCGTGGTATACACGGACCTAGGAAAAAAATTTCAAGTCCCTAACTCTTATATCTTCTGAGATCGACTGCTTACACAAGAAACACGCACACACACACACGCGTACACACACACACACACACACACAAGCACCCACGCATAAACACGCATGGGCTGCCGTGTGCGCTTACTATGAGAACTTAATTGTTTAATAACTTTTCTTATGGACATACGATCTTCATGAAACTTTCAGATTATGAATTTAACAGGGATATGCATAGTAGGATGGATTTGAAATTCGCCTTTTAAAAAGGTGATGGTGAAGGGGTGGATATAGGGGCGGGGAGTAAATGTTAACAAAAACCGAAATTGTAAAAGTTGCATATAAATCTACATTAAAAATTTGGAGACTTTAGCTTTAAAGTTGTAGGAGATATAATTTTATAACTAATTTTCTATAAGGGGTTTATCGATAAAAAATATCTGGAGTAGTTATCGATTTTTAAAGCAAAACTCGATTACCGCGTGGTATACACGGACATCTAACTCTTGTATCTTCTGAAATCGACGTGTTCAAGCATACTGACAGTCGGACAGACGGACAGACGGACGGACGGACAGGCAGACAGACGAACAGGGCTAAATCAACTCAGCTCGTCGCCCTGATCAAGAATATATATACTTTGTGGGATCTGCCACGCCTCGTTATAAAAAGGGGAAAAAAGTCATCCTACAACTTGACCAGAAACAGACATGCGCCAAAAACAATGCAACAACAATCAACATACGAAAACTCGAAAACCAAAGCATCCCATTCAACAACACACCATTCTTTTAAAAGTTAACGACAAATAAATTTATGCCAAAATAAAATATCATATTCAGCTTATATGAAATTACTGACCCAACGGCTGATGCATTTCCTCCACACTCCGATTTGGCCTGCATAATTCTAAGAAGAATAACAACACACGCAACTCCAAGTTGCCCTACAGGCCGATGCCATCGCCGACGACAGCGCTGCCAACGTCGCTGCCGCTAAAGCCATAGCTTGTTAGGGATAGATTTGATTTAAGTAAATAAGTTGCTAATTGGAGTCGAAAGAATAAACATCAATAAAGATCAAACTTCGAATACAAATCCAATTATTATATATATATATTTTTTTTGTCAATTTTATACACGCGCTCATCACCAACTCGGTTTTTGCGGATGATACGGCAATTCTTTGTGGAGGAATTCGTTCCGCTGACATAGCTAGAAACCTCCAATCAGCATATAACACTTTAGATGCATATTTCTCCTAATGGAAAATTTTAGTCTGCCCAGAAAAGACCAAGGCAATATTTTTCACAAAAAAACGAAAAGACATCTACGTACCGACAACTGACATCAGATTGGGCTCGGAATATATAAAGTGTGAACCAAATCTCAGGTACTTGGGTAATACCCAAAAGACAAAAGACTTACTTTTAAGGACCACATAACCAATACAATCAAAAAAGTTAAACATATAGTCCGTACGTTATACCCGTTTATAAATAGAAAGTCGAGACTAAATATAGAAAACAAAATGTTTTTATTTAGGTCAATATTCCAAGCAGTAACGTTCTACGTGCACCAGTGTGGTCAGATATAGCCAAATGTCACATAATCTTCCATGGCATCATTCCACGATTGATCTACATTGTCGAGCCAATACTGAACTGGTAGATATTGGACTATCGCGACTATCGCAAAAATTTATAACTAAGTGTCAGGAATCATCATATTCACAAATAAACGACCTGGCATAGACTTGTAGTTTTTAGTGTTTAGTGTTTAATTTAATTAGTAAATTTTCATGGAGTCTATTTCTTTGTTTTTTCCCCAAATAATAATGTTATCGCATATCCATATTTCATGTATGTAAATAAACAACTTAGCAGAAAAGGACTATGTATTAGCCTAAACTCTTCAAGCATTGTAAAATACGATTCACATCATGTAATTATAACAAAGTGTGAAATAAATTGAAAATTGAAAAAAAAAAAAAAATAAATAAATAAATGCGTACTCTAGCATATTCTAAGAGTCTCATTTACGAATCGTAACTTACGATTGATTTGTCTTTGCATTGTTTGTGAATTTCCAGCCGCTACACTGGCTTTTATTTGCTATATGGCGTAATAACAATAATTTGGTTTCGTTTTAATTACTCTTTTTCGAAACGACGCGGTGGTGCTGTAGGCAGAAGCGCCAGTGATCTTCATTTTAGTTATTTTGACAAACATGCTATTTGGCTTTGGTGCGAGTTCAAATCCCACGGAAAACTTTTTTTTTTTGGAAATTGCAAATTTATGTTATTTTAGCTGCTTTTATATTTTTTAAATTTCATACAAATGTTTCTTTCCGTATTATGAATATTTATTAATCTTATTTATATGTACAAATACATAAATATATGGCTGACGCATATAAATGTCGCAATTCGGGCACTATAAATGCCGATTGCCACGCCTCTAGTGGCCGTAGACTCCCCATTTTTGGCCAGTTGTTAGAGCAACCGGTAACCTAAATGCAAAATTTAACTTCTTACGCTCAAAAAATGTGAAAATTACAGGGTATTTTTCGATGTGCCACGCCCATAAGGAGGTGTTAAAATTATTTTTGGAGTATCGATAGAGGAGGCTACTAGTAGCTCAACAATCCAAAATTTTCGGAGTAAGTAAAGCTTTCCGACATTGAAATAATTTAGTTCACTTCTGCACCGAGCTCAAGCCGTAACTAAATCGAAAAATTTTGAAAATTTTACAAAATTTAAAAATTAACAAAAAATAATTTTAATAATTTTAAAAGAAATCTACAAATTATAAAAAAAAATTTAAAAGAAATCCGACAAAAGGTTAAAAATTCAAAAAAAAAAAAAAAAAAAAATAAATAAATAAATAAATAAAAATAAAAATAACTGAAATAAATAGAAGAATAATAGAGCAAGAATAAAATAGAAGAATAATAACGGGTAACAAGTAAAATGGAAAATATTAATGGAACGTTGCAAGGGTTAAGCGCGGCAATAATCGTGTTGGCCGATCAATTTTCGAGTCTCAAGGAAGATTTGAAGCAATTGAATAGGAAAGTGGATCGTTTGGAAAAGGAAGATACTAATGAGTCTCTCATAGAGGAACAAACCTCACTGGCCCGTCCACGTTCGGAGCTTCAATTAAATTGCCGGACTGTGTTAAAGTGTTGCCAACATTTGAGGGAAACCCTTCAGAATATGCCTCGTGGGTAAACAGGATCGAGTCCGTACTTGAAGATTATTCTATTATCAAGGAAAAAGCACTATATCGCTCAATAATTTTACATATACGAGGGAAAGTAATTGGAGATGCCGATATTTCACTGTCATCGTACGGTGTACAAAATGATGATTGGCCTGAAATGAAGCGAGTTTTGCGATTGCATTATGCTGATAAAAGGGATATTCGAACCTTGGATACGAATTGAATCAAATGATTCAAGGCAACAACGACTTGGAAACCTACTATAAGCAAGTTAATAGTCAGTTTTCTTTAATTTTACAGGCCTTAAAGGCAAGCGAACAACGAGTTGTAGTATTGTCCGCATTAATAGAATCATATAGAGATAGAGCTTTAGATGTTTTCATAAGGGGACTAAACGGAAGCTTATGCCATTTGTGTGAATTTACAGAATATTCATTAAGAAGTAATGGTGTACAAGGGACATATGTATATGTCTCGTGGAATTAATGATTATCAACAAAACAAAAACTGGAAAAATTCTTCATAAATCAGACTTAAGAAAATAGGAAAAACAAGTAAGAAAGCTCTAGTCGAGACTACTCGACTACGAGATCCCCTGAACCCTTGGAGTAATAGCTATTTCAATAATTGTTCGCGTCTTTCAGCTTACACAAGAAACACGCACACACACACACACACACGCACGCACGCACGCACACACAGGCATACATACACACACATACATACACACATACACACACACACACATACACAAACAATTACATACATATACACACACACAAGCATAAACACGCATGGGCGGCAGTGAGCACTTACTATGAGAACTTAATTGCTTAATAACTTTTTTGTGGACGTACGATCTTCATGAAACTTTCAGATTATGATTATGACATGGATATGCATGTAATTGCCAAAGCACAAGTCTCTAGTATTTGAAATACGCTTTTTACAAAAGTGAGGGTGAGGGGGTGAATTTAAGGGTGGGGGGTAAATTTTAACAAAAACCGAAATTGTATAAATTGCATATAGGCATACATTAAAATTTTGGAGACTCTAGCAATAAAGGTGTAGAAGATATAATTTTATAACTGGTTTTCGATAAGGTTTTTATCGATAAAAAAATATCGGGATGAGTTATCGATTTTTAATGATAAACTTGATATGCGCGCTGTAATTACGAACATTTTAAAAAAAATTTGAAGTCTCTAGCTCTTATATCTTCTGAAATCGACGCGTTCATACATACGGACAGACGGACAGACGGACGGACGGACAGACGGACAGACGGACAGACAGACGGACAGGGCCAAATCAACTCAGCTCGTCGCCCTGATCAAGAATATATATACTTTGTGGGGTCTGCCACGCCTCCTTCTGCCTGTTACATACATTTCAACAAAACCATTATACCCTGATTTCCCATTGAAAATGGGTTCAGGGTATAAAAAGGAAAATGAAATATACTAGTTGTCCCGGCGAACTTCGTACCGCCTAACAGTCTCTATATATATATTGTAAAACAAAGTCGAGTTTGTTACAAAACTTATAGCTCGAGATCTGCTGCACCAATTTTCATGGTTTTTGATTTGTGGGATTTGTCTCCGCCCCGAATAGCAGTATGTATTTTAAAAATACTGAAAAATTTGGGAATACTTGAAAAAAAAGTTATTTTCCCTAAAAGTTCTTTAATTTCGGAGCTGTCAACTTTTTGTATTAAAATCAGTAAGTAATGTCGTGTTACCTTTTAGCTGAACTAATTTAGGCATCTATGAACGTAATACAATAATACAAAAAAATATATAGATAATTGTTAGAATTTTCACGAATCATCAAACAATATGCGTAATAATTCATCGAACTAACCTTCTTGGCAGTTTCCTCACCTGAAACAAATACAGTAAAAATTGTATTTTAGAACCCCTAATAGGTTTACGACTCTTACAGCTACTCTCTACTAAATTAAGAGTGATAACTTTTTTGTGTACCAAAAGCAAACAGAATGAAATGTATATAAAGTTAAAATGAAAACAATGATTTTACCATTCAATGGATTAATCATTTTGATATTAAAGTGATATCCATCGTCTCCTTACCAAAACATCAGTGGGTATTGTAAAGCGTCATATGAACGGTGCATTCCAGATACTCTTTGTAGTTGCCCAGTACTGCGTCGTGCAAGCACAATATCGCGTGCTTCCAAGTTTTCACCAACAATCAAGATTGTCACTTCATCGATTGTTGGAGCATTAAATGTGCGTTCATGTGTTCCAGCTGGTCTTTTATCTGCTCTGATTACTACTTTATAGTCATCTCTTGGCATGCACTCTAAAGCAGTCTTGAACAGCTTGACCAATGCATGATGTTCGTGAAGCATTTGCTGCAAATCTTGGAGAATTGCTCTTTTCATAGCTGTGTTGATTTCTTGACGCCGGTCAAGTTGTTCTTCCATATTGCCCATGAAGTATATTTGCAAGAATTTGTGCTGTGCATCTTCAATAGGTTGCAATGATCCAATGCGATGGCAAATCTGGCCTTGAATCTTTAAATTCAAAGCCATAGTTATAGTTAGATTTACAAACACTTTTTACAGAAATCTAACAAACTACATTATTCCAAATTTTTTTTTTTTTTTTTTTTTTTTTACATTCATAGAAAATACAATTTTTAACGTAAATTACCTTAAATGTCGGATTATATCCGTCTCCAATAATTTCCGCCCCAAATGAAGTCATTTGGAAACAGGCATTGTATTTTTGAGTGTTCGCTAGAAAATGTCGTGATTCTAGTGTTTCGCCATAAAGCAGGGATCGCAATGGCTCTGGTGGCGGGACCACTAATGGCAATGTCACTTTACCACTAAGGCAGCACAAACCGGGCGTTTCACCAGCAAACTTCAATGCGCCACAATGCTGGCAAACAACGTCTATTGGACCAATGCAAACTAAACGATTTAAGCTGTAGTCAATGGTGCAATTATATCGAAACGCTGCTCGATTCAAATCAATCCTTGAACCATTTCTCATTGCCGTTTCACGGGCTGCGTCTCTTTGAGAAGCATGAATTAAGGCCCTTCTTTGCTGGGTACTAACGCGGCGCCTTTCTCGGTGCCTCGATGCATAATTGTATTATGGGTCCGCCGGGAAAGATTTTTATCAATTGTAACACTGAATATGCCCTCGCACAAAACCACATAAAACAATCGAGAAATATAAATATAAATAATTTACACAAATTTATGTTTGAGACAAACAAATACCTGAACTTTCGAGATATTTAGCTTTTGTACGCACGCGTATTATTTTTATCAAATGTGCTTCTTTTTATGAATAGTCAGGTTCGCCTGAGGTTGTGCCGTAGACTGACTGACTACATTTGTTTATTTACTTCTATACAGGACCGAAACTGTCACTGTTATCAAGCCTACTGAGTATCAATGGAAATTTGAATTTTTAGGGAAAAAACCGCGTTTTTCAAGTATTCATCAAATTTGTTCAGTATTATTAAGATCTACTATCCTACTCGTGCCGGAGACAAATCCTTGTTGGCAAAAACCATGAAAATTGGTCCAGCACATATCAAGTTATAAGTCTTTGTACACTTTTACACAACTCTCTTTTATATATATAGATAGATATATAACCTCTGTCTATACTATAAATAACCTCTATTATATGTAACCTCTGTCTTAATTTACATATTATGTATATCCTATGACTCGTAGCCAGGTAAATCGAACTACATGACAGCTATTGTGTATCGTATTTCATAGGGGTTGTTTGTTGAACCGAAAAATTGTATAAAAGACAGTCAGTGCATAGTAGAATTTCATTCTTGCTCCAGCTCTTAAATAGACCGGATCAGTATTAATATTCTACTTTAAAATGATTGCCGAATACATGCGGCATGGCAATACCATCGAGAATCGCGAGAAGAGATCGTTTACTGGCGCTGCCGTCAACCTGAGAAAACTATTGAAGTCAGTGAAACGTATTTTCGCAACTTCGAGGACAGCATTACCGTCGGAGGAGCACTTCTCTGAATCGACTGCGAGTAGTATTCTTACAGAGGAAGAGCTTCAGAATTGGCTGAACGAGCAAATCGAATCAAAATAGGGTCTACTTCTTTCATGGAGCTCTAATCGATATCCTTATATGTGATGGGACTTGTGTTCCGACAGGATTCCAATCTCGGCAAATGGCTTTAAATTCTTTCTGTGATAACTCATAATTTAGAGTAAGTACTTGATCATTGTCTTTCATCAGCTAAGTATCTTATGTTTATTTGAGTAAATAAAATGAACTAAAACAAAAAGAGTTTAGTAGTTAATTAATCATTTTTGCTTATTTGATTACTTCATACAATCAATTTTAATTTGTGTAACTTATTGAAAATGCGGGATTACTTCCGTTAAAATTCTAAATTTCCAAATTTGGTTCTTAAATCATATTTCTTATAGTGTATATTATAAACAATACACAACACTGTTTAAATTTCTTTAAATTAATTTTGAAAATCTAGCCAATAATCAAAAAGCTTGCAGTTTATAGGGATATGTCACATATTTATAATGGATTAAGTATATTTTCGACAAAGGCTGGCTTTAAGCTTTAAGCTGTAGATTTAATATATAGTAGAATCCGGAAACCGACGCTCGAGGGACTGTCGGTATACCCAAAAGACGTTTTAACCATATAAGATTGCTCATATAAGTTTGTCTGAGGTCCAGAATTTTCATCGTAATAACCGTACGTACTCTATAAACGGAATACATTGTACCAATCGTATTAATTGTAATTTATTTATTTATTTATTTATTTATTTATTTATTTCTTAAAGATATTAACAAAATCGGGAGTCAACATAAAATTAAAAAGCCTAAACAAAGTACAAAAAATAATTACAATAGTATCAACAACCCGATGAGGGTATTTTACTTGCCAGTCCAGCCAGCTATGCCCACGTTTCACAGCCAAATATAGTCAGATATATTACTGAGACTATGAAAAAAAGTGTTAGAAAGAAAACTTAAAATAAAAAGTAAATATAGAAATATTAAGTATAGATAATATAATAATTACAATAATTATTAACATAAAAAAAAAATAATAATAATTCATTTTTGTGAATGAGTATAAAAATAATAAAATTAAAAAAAACAAGTAAGAAAGCTCTAGTCGAGACTACTCGACTACGAGATCCCCTGAACCCTTGGAGTAATAGCTATTTCAATAATTTTTCGCGTCTTTCAGCTTACACAAGAAACACGCACACACACACACACACACACGCACGCACACACAGGCATACATACACACACATACATACACACACACACACACACACACACACACACACATACACAAACAATTACATACATATACACACACAAGCATAAACACGCATGGGCGGCAGTGAGCGCTTACTATGAGAACTTAATTGCTTAATAACTTTTTTGTGGACATACGATCTTCATGAAACTTTCAGATTATGATTATGACATGGATATGCATGTAATTGCCAAAGCACAAGTCTCTAGTATTTGAAATACGCTTTTTACAAAAGTGAGGGTGAGGGGGTGAATTTAAGGGTGAGGGTAAATTTTAACAAAAACCGAAATTGTATAAATTGCATATAAGCATACATTAAAAATTTGGAGACTCTAGCAATAAAGGTATAATTTTATAACTGGTTTTCGATAAGGTTTTTTATCGATAAAAAAAGATCGGGATGAGTTATCGATTTTTAATGATAAACTTGATATGCGCGCTGTAATTACGAACATTTTAAAAAAAATTTGAAGTCTCTAGCTCTTATATCTTCTGAAATCGACGCGTTCATACATACGGACAGACGGACAGACGGACGGACGGACAGACGGACAGACGGACAGACGGACAGACAGACGGACAGGGCCAAATCAACTCAGCTCGTCGCCCTGATCAAGAATATATATACTTTATGGGGTCTGCGATGATTCCTTCTGCCTGTTACATACTTTTCACAAAACCATTATACCCTGATTTCCCATTGAAAATGGGTTCAGGGTATAAAAACAAGTAAGAAGGCTCTAGTCGAGACTGCTCGACTAGGAGATACCCTGAACCCCCTAAGCTGATATTCTAATCATTCTGCACTTCTTTTATGCACACATACATACACATGCATCCACACGCACGTATAAGCCTGCGCTCTGCTAACTGCGCAGTAAGCAGCGACTGGGCTGCGCTGCAGTGCACTGCAGTGTGGGCAATATTATGAGAATTTATTTGTTGAATAATTTCTTTTGTAAACATATGATCTTAATGAAACTTTTAGAGTTTAGAGTTTAGAGAAGGGGGCGTGGTATCCAAAATCTGTAAATTACAAAATCTTTGTATCGATTAACTTTATATATAATGCGAATTTGAAGACTCCAGGTCTCAATATTTTCAAATTAGGCTAAAAATACAAAATCCATTTTTCGATTATTCTCGATAAAAAAGTTATCGGACGATTTATCGAAAAAATAAAGCAAACTCGTACTGCGTATGGCATACACGAGTATGCATGCCAAATTTCAGCTCTCTAGCTCTTATAACTTCTGAGATCGACGCACTCATACGGACGGACGGACAGACGGACAGGGCTATATCGACTCAGCTCGTCACGCTGATCAAGAATATATATACTTTGTGGGGTCTGCCACGCCTCCTTCTGCTCGTTACATACTTTTTCACAAAACCATTATACCCTGATTTCCCATTTTCAATGGGTTCAGGGTATAACAAGTAAGAAGGCTCCAGTCGAGACTGCTCGACTAGGAGATACCCTGAACCCTCCAAGCTGATATTCTAATCATTCTTGACTTCTTTTATGCACACATACATAGACATGCACTTATACGCACGCGCTCTGCTAACTGCGCAGTAAGCAGCGGCTGCGCTTGGGCTGCACTGCAATGTGGGCAATATTATGAGAATTTATTTGTTGAATAATTTCTTTTGTAGACATACGATCTTAATGAAACTTTTAGAGCGTAATCATATGGTTAAATTGTGTGTACATTCCAAAGCACAAGTCTCTAGTACTTGAAATGCGTTTTTTACAAATTGGGGGCGATGGGGGCGTGGTATCCAAAATCTGTAAATTACAAAATCTTTGTGCCCATTAACTCTATATACAACGCAAATTTTAAGTCTCCAGGTTTAAAAGTGTTCAAACTAGGCTGAAAAAACCAAGTCGATTTTTCGATTATTCTCAATAAAAAAGTTATCGGATGAGTTATCGAAAAAATAAAGCAAACTCGTACTGCCTATGGTATACACGAGTATGCATGCCAAATTTCAGCTCTCTAGCTCTTATATCTTCTGAGATCCTTTTGCTCATACGGACGGACGGACGGACGGACGGACAGACCGACAGGGCTATATCGACTCAGCTCGTCGTCCTGATCAAGAATATATATACTTTATGGGGTCTGCGATGATTCCTTCTGCCTGTTACATACTTTTCACAAAACCATTATACCCTGATTTCCCATTTTCAATGGGTTCAGGGTATAAAAAGAAAAAGAAGAAAGATTTAGTAAAGAAAAGAATAAGGAAAGTATTAAAAGTTGTTGCAAAAATAGTTAGTAATGCTAAAGAATAAGAAATAAATGAAAAAAGTAAAGGAAGAGCCAAAATAGCATAAGGGATAGGGTTGAGAAATCACTACACAACATTGGCAACGAAATGTATACCAGTGCTTATGCCTGGGCACTGTGAGTGATTTCCCTAAGATAATTAAAAGTAAGGATTTTATTTTAGGAAGAGAGAGTTCTGAGGAAAATACGTGATAATATTATAATATAATATATAATAAAATATTATTAAGGCAAAAGACATGAAACGCACTTACTGTGCAAAGAATAATCCCTAGTGCACACAGGTAAATGAAGCGGACGATAGTGTCTACTTGTTCGATACGGAACCGAAAAATGTAGACGACTCAACAAAGAGGACGAATCAATATCACCGCTAATCAATTTATGCAGAAAAACAATTCCTAAAATTGTTCTGCGATTGGTTAGCGATGGAAGATCCATGAGCTGAAGACTACTATGATAAGACGGTAATCGTATATAACTGAAGAAACTGTTTTTGAACCGATTCGATACGATCCTGATACAGTTTATGCTGCGGAGACCATACAGCTGAGCAATACTCTAAGATCTTAAAATTCCTTAGACCAACGTTTAATAAAGCCAAGCACACTTTTGGCTTCATTAATAATGGTAGAAATATGAAGATTAAAATTATGTTTACAGTCAAAGAACACACCAAGATCTTTGATTGTAAAGATGCATCGTAAGGTAATTTTATAATCAACAATTAGAGGAACGGTACGACTAAACAATTTTAGTAGTTGTGACGGAAGAGAAATACTGCACTCTTTAATCACACAACTAGGAATATTATCGGCACCGGGAGAGAAAGATGATTTCAATGTCCTAATGGCTGCAGCCAGAGAGGCTGCAGTAACTTTAGGAGTATTTATAGAAGTGAATATGGATATGCGTTGCTGTAGAGATCAGCAGAAGAATAAGTTGAATAAGTTGAAAAAAATCTGCAAATAGATCAGAGGAATCCTGATCATTGCAAGTTTTTTCACCACCAAGGACAAATGGGGACTGCAAACCTGAAGATTTACGCTTCGAGTCTACAAATGAGTAAAATTGTTAAGGATCTCGAGAAAACTGACGTTTGCAACGTATAAGATAGTTCTCATAACAACTAGAATTTAAAAGATTGAAATTTGACTTGGCAATGGAATATTTAGACCAGTCAACACTTGAACCAGACTTTTTATAATATTTAAAACATTTAGTTTTCTTAAGGTTGAAAGAGACTTGGTAAACCAAGGTGGCTTATTTGAAACTGTCGAAATACGGCAGAGAGGGACACAAACATCCAGAATAGAGTTTAAGGTGGTATAAAAAAACGATGCTGCCAAATCAATATCAACCGACTCATATAAAATAGACCAGTCTGTTGAATTAATTAATTCGTTAAGGAAAACAAAATTGCATTTACGATAACAGCAACGAAGTTTAAGGAGTTAAGGAGTATTAGAGAGAGGATTATCAACAGTTAATAAAACCTCTAAAGTGGGGTAATGTATATCCTCTGGTAAGCAGAAAGGAGCTGATCTCACGATATTAATGAGCGAATCATGATTTTGAAAAAGGGTTCATCTGAAACATAGACAGGTTAAACGATTCGTCAAAAAGATAGTGATCAATTGTCGGAATAAAGTAATTTGCATTACAAGTTGATGACCAAGAAGTGTTAGGAATATTAAAATCACCCAACACAAGAAACAAGTCTTTATCATTTACATGCTCATAAATTTCTTTGATACAAGTTATATGGTGAATATATGTACTGTAAAATATTTCTTGGTTATGTTGAGCTAATACAAATATTTACTTATATACCGGGCTATTTGAATTATAATTAAAGTTGGTTGGTTAAAAAAGTTGAACAGAATTTCAAAATGTTTCTAACAGAACTGCGATTGCAATTTGAGTTTATTTAAAAATCGCGCCATCGCGGTATAAATTTAGTGTGGACACACTGAAAATCCTATACGACTATCGGCAAAGCATCTACATTATTGAACAATCGATAACTCAATAACTAATGTGTGCTGCCAACCTGATTTTGATAAATTACCGCCAAGCTGTTAAATTAGAATATATTTTAAAGTAAAATATATTTAAAAAAAAGTATTTTATTGTATTAACCTTACTAAATTAAAATACTAAAATACGCAAATCGCTAGAACCGTTATCTTCAAATTTTGCACATATATATATATATATATTTTAATTTAGTAAGGTTAATACAATATATATTTTTTTTTAATGGTTTATAAATACATATACATATATGTATGTATTATGAGACCTGGGGCATTTCCGTGTTAACTGAAAAATTTAAAATGCTATAATAGTGCCTTGAAATTTGAAATATAGGGAGGCGTTGCAAATTATGTTGTTTTTAACGTCGACGGTTAGTCGATGGCAATGTTCTTACTTATTTTTCTGGGAAAACTTGAGTAATATTTAGAGTCAATTTTTTCTGTTAAAACGATTTATTTATTTCAACGCTTATATTAAAAATTTGCATTAACAATGTTTATCGAATATAATTTTATGGGTAATTCTTTTCATTCAATATATGTTTAAGTGCACTTAGTTTTGATTATTTGTGTGTGTAGAGTGGATATCCAAGATTCTGTCAGTTATAGCTTTTCTCTAAAAATAGGATGTGACATCAATGGGAGGAGAATTTAATGATGATATGTCGTAAATCTGCATAGGAGTTATAGACATCGAGATAGATATAGATGCGTTCATTTTGTATTGTTACATTATCCACCAGTGGCGTTTAAGTCTGTTTCTAGGTTTTAACTCTGGATGCTATAAAAGATTTTTGTGAACGGAGGACAAAGTCGGGAAGCATGTCAACGGAAGATTTTGAAATGGAAGCCAAAGTTTGTGTGCAATTGAACTGCTCATAGTAGAACCGCACATAATTATCAACGGATCATATCTTTCGATTTAAAATTTTGTTTAAGTTGCCTTGGAAACGTAAATATGTGTACTGTTTTCTTATATTCTCGTTATTCAATATTCGATTTATCTATTATAGTAAGCCAATGTGATAATGACCAATTGTTATCTTTCATATTAAGAAGCAAGGGGATCTACACAATCTCAATTCACGCTACTGATAGTCGACGGAGTCGCTGTCCAGCAACGTCGAGGACACTTCCGAGATGCGTCTATGCCAGTAGTCCTGATACCGCGATTCGGGTTGTGCAGCAGAGCGCCACGGTGGCCATTTCAGCTATTCCTCAACAATGTCCCACACCATGAGCGAAGCGTCTGTTCCGCCCACAGTGATGAGCGTGTGATCCCCGCACAGGAAACGCACGCAGGCCAGCATGCCGGAGTAAACCTTGCACTCGTGAAACTCGGCGCGCGGTGAGATGCACGGATATCTGTTAAAGCCAATTGATTACAGATTATCACATATTTTTGAGCGCTGTGTATCTTGTCTCACCTGAACAGCCGCAGGTATCCCTCCGCATCGCCCGATGCGAGCATATCGTGAGCCGCGGAGCGACAGCAGGTGGCTATGATGGTGTTGGCGTTGCCGTAGTAGCGATTGCTCCATTGACCAGCCACCAGGAAGCCCACGGTGCAATTGTTCGTTAGCCACTTAACATCTTTCATGGCAATGGGACTTCGCTCCGGGGACAGAGACTTCGCATCCCAGAACAGCAGATCGAAGTCAATGGTCACTGTCTGCACGAAGTTCCCGTCCATGCTCCAGTCCAGATGCGTCAGTGGCTGGGAGCCGCGTATCTTGTTGACTTTCTTGTAGGAGAACCCATCGCGCGAGACACGGAACAGGTAAATGCTTCCATTTTGCGAGCCCATGGCAATCATGTCACCGACTGTAGCACAGACTTGGCATAGAGTATTTGCATAGTGGGGATAACTGAGCACACTTACCCTGGTTAAATGACACGCAGTTCAAAGGTGAGCCGCATACACGCAGCGTTAACATAACTGCTCCGTTGTCGCAGTTGATGACCAGCAGGTGGCCTTCGGTGCTGCCAGCAGCCAGTGCCGTGCCAAACGGGTGGAAGGCCAGTGCCACGCACTCATAGCCCGTTTGTATGGTCCAAATGAGTTTGTTCTTGCGCCAGAGCGCCACGTGCTTGTCATGGCCGGCCGTGGCATAAAGCTCGTCCTCGGGGTGGGCGGCGAGGCCCCAAAGCTGTCTGCCGTGGCCGAAGACAACCTGCGTGAAGCGCCGTTGCAACGAGCCCTCTAAGATGTTGTTTCTGGTCGTTCCCACGTAGATGTTGCCATCATTTCGGCCTGGTCGCTGGGGATAAATTGTCCTCACTCCACCGGCCGCTTCGGGTAGCTGAGGCGTCACATCGATTAATGTATATACATATATACGTGTATTTAGATTGTAAGGGCGACTTCCTACCTTTGTGTCCGCAATTTTTTTGTAATTTTGCAGCGAGTCCCAAGCTGCAATTTTGCGATCCTTTTCGCCACCTGACAGCAAAGTTCCCTCGCCCAGCATAATCAGGCAGCCGATGCCCTTATTGTGGGCCTCAAACTCGGTGCGCACAAAGTATGCGCCATCGGAGTCCACGGAGTATATGGTAATGAAACCATCAGAATCGGCGGTAATCACATCGCCATCCGGCTCGAATTGCACGCTGGTAACGTGGGAGCGCGACGGCTGCTTCACAATATCAGTGCGCTCAAAGAAACCATCCTTACGCCGGTGCCAGAAGGCCAAATGACCGCGGCCATGGGTGATGATGAGATTATCATCCAGGGGGTGGAAAGCAGCGCCCGAGAGGCCTTCCTGCAGGGTCTGCAATTGGAGCAAAGCAATCGACAATCGATGAAGAATCTAGAAGGGGTAAGGCATGTTCGTCACTTACGGCCACTTTGCCCAGCAGGTGGCCCCATTGCCATTGCCAGACGGACAGGATGCTCTCGCGACCGCTGTCCACGGCCAGTATATAGCTGCCTCCATTCTGAAAGGCAATTGGATTATGTAACTTGGGATCCATTGGATAGGGCTTCAAAGGGCTTACCAATTGGGAGAATGCTACTGCGGTAACTCCCGTATCCAATTCGCCCATGCCGAAGACGTAGAGGGTCTGCAGTGACTCGGTGCTCCAAATGCGGACATGTGCTTGAGACTTACGATCGCGGCCAGCCTTTTGACCCGATGCCACCAATTCCCGAGACGGATGCACGTCCATGCTGTGCAACAACATGGGAGATGAGACAACCATAGTTGAGATTTGAAATAGTCTCACTTACCACATGATGTCCTCCGTGTGGCCTATGTAGTGGCGCTGTGCATCCTCGTCGCGATCGAATAGCACGGCCACGGCAGCTACGTAGTAGAGCAGCTCTCCGCTTGGCAGTACCCAGAGATTGCGGCGCGCATCGATTCCTCTGTAGCCGTGTCTATCGAAAGCCAAACAGTGAGTGAATGAATGAGCAAATGCTGAGCTGGCACGGGGCTTATGGCATAAATGTATACTCACACCCACTGGAGCTGTAGCTTTTTGTCTGGGGGCGAGTTTTCAGCCGGTGCATGGTGCACGGGGGGATAGAAGGTGCGCCTCAAACCCCGTATGGTTACCTTTGTGGGCTCCTCTTTCATGATGTCCAGCATGGTGTACTCTCCGTTCGGCCGAAGAATCTCACTCTCTGGGGCGTAGAGGATTCGGGGCCGGCTCTTGCTCCTAGGTCGCGTGCCACGCAACGGCACCTTTGGCAGCTCCTCCGTGGAGAGTATGGGGGCCGCAGCGACCACCGAAGGGCGTGAGCGTGAGCGTCGAATGGGCGAGCCAGCAATCAAGGCCGTCCCAGTGGCCAAATAGAATGTGTCTACGTCGGCGAACTCATTGCGTAGCTGCGAAAAACTGCGAACCTGCCGGCCCATAGAGCAGCAACAGCAGGTTGCAAATGTGCGAAATTTAGCAAGGTTTGTGATATTTCACGTCTTATATTATTTTATGCTAATTAAGATATTATGCCGAAAATTGTTTGGCATGAAAGAAATGAAAAGAAAGCTCTCGGAGCCCACGTCATCTTACCTCCTGCCCAGTACCTGTGTACATTTTTTTAGCGCCGTTAATTTTCAGCACTTGACCCAAATCCTCGAGCACTTCCTCAAACGGCTGCGAGGTGCGTAGGTTAAGCAAAACGCGACACTGGAAAACGAAGAAAGTATATGCAATATATGTATAATTCGTATATAGAAAATTGTACGTCCCTAATCTAATGTGCTGAGGCCAGAGGCCGTTTTATGAGTGGGTAATTAGTCAGGGAGCCATAAAATATGAATTATTGGACTGTGTGAAGTGTGTGTACGCACATAAATACACATTCACCTATATATGTGTATATGTGCATGTTTGGAGTTCAGCATTGACTGCGCGCATTGACTTTTCAACACTCGTCCTGCGACAGGAACTTAGCCGTGACACGCCACTTCCGCTTCCGCTACCCCGGCCATGACACTTCAAGTTTGTAAGCCAAGTTGGTAGCAACAAATATTTATAATTACGTGCCTACACACATACACACACAAACATACGCACTCTTACGCAAAAACGTTAATGTGTAAAGATATATGTATATATATATATATGTATATATTCATATTCATATTCATATGAATGTGGCGACACCAACATCCTCGTATGCTTCTTGGCTCAGCCGCCAGCCGAGGCTGTGACCCACTTTGCGTTTTATTTCACTGCTTAATGGTATTATTTGTAGTTGCTAGGGGTCGTCGGGCTATTCCAGCATTGTTTGCCTTCTACTTGTGCTGCTTCTTGCTGTTTCGTCTGCCACTGCTCGCTGCTAGTTGTTGCTATTGTTGTTTTTGTTGCACTTAAACTTTTGCGCTCATAATTGGATGTACACGCAACATCCACCCCTGCCCAGATGAGCGATACGCATTGTTGCATTTGCCTGCTTAGCCGCGGCTTTAGTTGCTGTTGCTTTTGCTCTGCCTGCTTGCCTGCCTGCTCTCGGTGCTTATGTCAAGTGTGCATCTTGAGTTTTAACGACCTTCAGGCCTTGATATCTGTTAGTCACGCGAGACCATGTCTCGCAAAAATTAAAGCATCAGGCGTAAACTTTATCTGCTGCCCGGCTCCTGCTGACAATTGCCAACAGGACCAACTTTGGCATTTTGTATGAACTGGATCTAATTTATGTATTTAGTTAATATTCGCTGGAAAACTGTCTAATGGTTTTATTTCCACGTTGAAAGCTGTCTGCTGTTGATTTTGCTGAGACTGATTGCGACGAAGTTCTTTCTCTCCTCCTTTTATACTCATTCACGAAAGTGAATTAGTATATTGGTTTTATGCAATGTACGTCTTGTTGTCCGTCCGTTTGTCCGAATGAGCGCAATCTATTTCGGCGCTATTGAAGCTAGAGACTTGAAATTTGGAACACATACTCGTGTATATCTCCGATTTATAAAGTGTTAAATTTTCCCAATCCGCCCACTAGGGGCGTGGCAAATCGGAAAATGCATTTTCCCATATGCCAGAAATCATATTAATTGAAGAGCTAGAAAGCTTAAATTTGGAATTTTGGAATATAGATCCGCATCGACCACCCATGATCACGAGCTATGGCGGATATATCTACGCCCATTGGGGGCGTGGCAAATCGGATAAAACTGTATCTCCAAGAGTTTTACAGCTAGAGCGCTGAAATTTTGCATGTAAGTATAATAGCTAGAAGCTTCAAATTTAGATAGTTAAGATACCAGTAAACTCCTCTATCGATGACCCAAAAATAATTTTTATGCCTTTTAGGGGCGTGGCATATCGAAAAATACCCTGTCATTTTCACATTTGTTGAGGGTAAGCATTCAAACTTTGCAGTTAGGGTACCGTTATCTCGTTCTAAGAACTGACCAAAAATGAGGTGTCTACGCCTAGTAGGGGCGTGGCAAATCGGGATTTTCTACACTATTAGAGCGAAACTTAACTACTAAATTGCTGATGGGATGTGAATGAGTATTCCGCAGTCGGTAACACCCGACTGCAACGTTCTTACTGGTTTTTTTTGTTTTGTTTTTTGTTTTTTGGCAGTTTCTAATATTTGAAAACCCATCTAGTTTATGTTAGAAGGAAGATTATAAAAGTTTGGCGTATAAAATAGCAAACCGCGTATAGTTTAGGCACTACTCATCTACTACCATTCGAATAACTTCAGTGTCTTCTATACATTTATCTTGTACATTTAAGTAGTACATATTATCAGATCTCACAAACTATTCTTCAAAATTATTGTTTATAGTATATTAAGTACAATTGCAAATAAGGAGATCATTTAGCACAACAGACAGATCCTTTCACAAAATAAGGAAATCAATGAAATTGCAGTCATATCATAAGCAATCATTACAATAGAAAGTACTACGCAGAACTGAGTATAACCTAAAATTTTCGGAATATATACATATATGTGCTTTACATTTGTGTCAATTATTAAACACTGCTACTAAATGCAAATTTTATAACCCGAGTATATTGAAAATTGTATTTCAGTTTATAACTGTTTTGTGGAATGCACTATGGGCGATTTGTCGATTTTGGCGGCATAAAGTCTAAAAATAAAGCTAGAAACCTAATTTTTGTATACCCTGAACCCATTGAAAATGGGAAATCAGGGTATAATGGTTTTGTTAAAAGTATGTAACAGGCAGAAGGAGGCGTGGCAGACCCAACAAAGTATATATATTCTTGATCAGGGCGACGAGCTAAGTCGATTTGGCCCTGTCCGTCTGTCTGTCCGTCCGTCCGTCCGTCCGTCCGTATGTATGAACGCGTCGATTTCAGAAGATATAGGGGCTAGAGACTTGAAATTTTTTTCCTAGGTCCGTGTATATCACGCGCATATCAAGTTTTTCTTTATATATCGATAACTACTCCCGATATTTTATTATCGATCAAAAACCTTATCGAAAGCTAGTTATTTAATTATATCTCCTACACCTTTAAAGCTAGAGCTTGCAAATTTTAAATGTAGACTTATATGTATTTTATATAATTTCGATTTTTGTTGTAATTTACCCCCCACCTCTATATCCACCCCCTCACCCTCACCTTTGTAAAAGGCGTATTTCAAGTACTAGAAACATGTGCTTTGGAATGTACATACATTTTCACCATATAATTACGCCCTGAAACTTTCATTAAGATTGTACGTATAGAAATTAAATTATTCAACAAATAAATTCTTATAATGTTACCTACACTACAGCGCAGCCCAAGCGCAGTTAGCAGAGCGCATTCTAATACGTGTGTGTGTATGTATGTTTGTCGAAAAGAAGTGCAGACTGATTAGAATATCAGATTAGAGGGTTCAGGGTATCTCCTAGTCGAGCAGTCTCGACTAGAGTCTTCTTACTTGTTTTCTCTTAAATTGTGCCACGCCTTTTTGCGCCCCCATACCTATACCTATACGTAAATTTCACTATATAGCTATCATTATATAGTAAATGTTATTTGGCTGTGGTTGTTGTTGTTCCAAATATCAAGAAGCGTGTAGGTGGTGAAGGCAGAAGAAACTTTAACTTTTTAGCAAAAGGAGCAGAAATGAGCAAAAAAAGGCTTGTTAATACCATAAACTAAAAATATTGTTTAGTAACTTGCCATCATTAGTTTCATGTTCTGATATGCACTTTTTAAGTAATACTCCACGGAACACAATTAAAATTGTTAGATTTTTTGCTAAAAATACAATCATCAACACTGGACTATAAAAAACACACAAACATTTATGCATAAATAATGTTAGCTACAGATTACAAATACCTTGAGCTTTGTTTTCCCTTTTGATTTTTTTATTTTAAATGAAAACAATAATAATTTGAGTACTTGCAATAGAAGAAAATTTTTCGTGCCAGTTTTTATACCTAAAATCTTCAACAGATCAGCTGACTTTAAGGCGGTACCACATAGAAAGAATTGACCCCAAAAATTCACAAAAAATGTTTTCCATCTAATTGGAGTGTTAAGAACTAAGAAATATTTGGACTTTATGCTGCCTATCACGGAAAATCGCCCATAGTGTAGGCAAGAAGCAGGAAGTGTACAAAGTGTAGCAAACTCCTTAAAGTATGCGTCCGCTCGTCCGTATTAGCCCGTCGATTAGAACCGATAAGATAGATACTTCTCAATATGTATACCTTTTATCGATAACTATTTCCGTTTCAATAAATTCGACTAAAACATTATGGAATACCAGTGATTTGAATATTGCTTGCACATTTTTAGAGGTTTAAAGAGTCTCAACATTTGAACTCCCCTTTGGACCTTGTATTGCTGCTAAACTTTTTTGTTAGCTTGTCCGACTCTTGGGGCGAACAATTTGATTTTTATACATTTGTCCGAAAACGCTCAAAACTGTACCATTTAGAGCATCTGGCTTAATGGTTCTTGCAGGGGTCGACGAAGAGGCGGAACTGGGCAGGCAGGGCAACCGTTTGCTGACTGCCTAGACTACTGTTGGCAACTATTAATCACAATTTATTGATTGTTTATCAACCCGACACACCTGAGGCTAACTGCTGTGAGCACGGGCGACGGTAGAGCCGGACGGATAAAGCGGTGCGATGTGATGTGTCTCGTTCGGCGGATTGAGTCGACAGTAGCGATAACATTTAATAATGCATGGTAAACTAGCCGACCAGACGGTATTATTTCACTTCGAGACTTCAACTTCTGTGTATGCACAATTTGTAAGGTGAACACAAATTATGCATGATTGGCACTTATTGGAAATATAGCGCTCTCTCTCACACATACACACTTTGTCTCTTTCTGTCCATCTTTATCTGTGTGTGGGTGTGTGTGTTCCAAAGGTGACAGGCAGGAGCAGCAGTTGCACTCAAGATGCCAGTCGTTGCAGTATAAACAAATATAATTATGTGCGTAAATAATTACATTACTCTGGCAGCTCCAATCAGGTGACCCCAAACAAATGGCATTTGTTAAGCCAATTACGTGCACTTTCGGTGGGGTATGGTCGGGTTGGGTCGGGGCTAGGGCCGGGCGGTCAACAGCTGACGGAAGAACGAAGTACGTTGTACTGCCTGTACGTGTAATGCGTACTTCCTCCTTCCGCATGACACAATCATGCATGTGTGTATTTGTATTTGTGTGTGTGTGTGTGACAGCAGGCGACAGCTGTGGAGTTGATATTTTAACATTTTTTGTTAAAGGCTCAAACGGGGAACCACACCCACATTTGTCCAATAATCCCATCCAGACGTCTGACCAACTCTTGGCTGATATCCTTTCTCCGTTGTTAAAATCACAGAAATTTTTTACAAATAACTTGTGCGACTCCTCCATACTGTTGACAAAGGAATTCAATAAAATTCAGAAATATCTGCATAAAACAAAGAACCTCTAAACAAGCGAGCAGCCTCCTTATTGCAAGCGAATAAAGGCAGCCAAAAAGAAGTTGCAGTCGGTTGCACCGACCTCCTAATACCTTACTTCTCTGATTACATGTTTAATAATTTGCAAGTCATTCAGAAAGAGATTTGTATATGGTAATTATATAATAATAAAGAGTCTATGTGGACCTTTCGACGCATGTTGCCTTTATATTTTCACCATAATTTTTATTTTATATTCTAAGCTATCCTCAGAGATCTTCGTAGGTGGTGTTAAAAAATTAAAAATTATTAAAATTAAATGACAGCTAAACATGGAATATAATACATGTATATTAATTTAGACGTATTGTTGGTTTTAAAGATAAAGCTATATCTGATAAGAATTTGCTTATATTCGTATAGAAAAGTATCTTAATGAAAGTATTTCATACTAATACTCGAAAGTAGTCACAACAATTGATTAATTGTAATTGATTGAATGACAACTGTCGTTGAGCGGAAGCCAAGTTGAAATGGGCCATTTTGCAGCGCATTCGCAGTTGGCAGTTGGGCTGGGCTGTGCATTCTTTGTGGGTTTTTGCATGCTTTTCAGGGCCCAGCACTTTTTATGTTTGCCGTCATTTAACGTATGTACCTGGACGTCAGGTGCTGTTGCATCAGTTTCTCTTGGCGTGTCTTTGTTGACTATTCAATACGGCTGCCGGACGGAGAGACTGTGGCGTGGAGAGCTGAAAAAGTTTCCATGTGTGTGCCGAAACAATAAGTGGAAAGTAAAGTTGATCATACGTCAGCACGAAAGTTTTCACGGCAAAGTTGCAAGAATCAAAATACAATGCGGCCGTTGCACGTGCTACTTTGCGATGCCAAATATTATTTAGCGCCAGTCACGAGACTGCAACACGCCATTATGCACAGCCACTTACTGTGGCAGAGCGCGAGAATGCGAAAGTACGAGAGGCAGCAGAGCCAAATGCAGTCGCCGTCGCCGTCGCCGGTGCCGTCGCTGTCGATGGCAATGGTAATGGAATTGGCTAATGGAAGGCCCTCTATGTCTCTGTGGCCATGCTCAAATGTTCTCTATGCTTGTGTAGTCTGCGTCTGTAACATATTTAGCGGTATTCCCGGTTTCACCCGTCGAGGCTGGGTCATGTCCTTGGCCTGTTTGGGCACTGAGCGCGTGCAGCCCTGGCTCCTCTCGTACGAGAAACAAAACTCTTCGAGCAACAAAACTCAAAGGCATAACAATTTCCCTTTGTCGTTGTCGGTGTTGCTCTTATGACTGCTGTTGATGTTATAAGTATGTTATTTTGTGAGCTTTGAATTGCTGGTCGGTTCTGTGGCTGTGTCTGACATCCTCTGTTATGCAATGAGACTTTAATCCATTTCTGGACATTTATAGAAGCACATATTTCAGTTGCATTGTATTTAATTAATATTGTCTTAGGTAAAATGTCACTGATTCCCAATTCATACGTCACATTTCATTTTACATTTATTTATTTTCATTTATCAGATCTGTATTAAATGTTTTTCGCTGACAAATTTTAAAATACCTAATAAATATGAAGAGTCTTAAAAACTTGCGAGATATTACACTAAAGCTCAATAAGACTTTGATTCGATGGCAAACCCTAACCCAGAGTATTACAAATGTAAGTTTCAGAATCGATTAAAGTATTACCCTATCAAAACGTAATTTATGTCGGCTTCATGCACTGTGCAATATTCGGTAACAAGAGGACCTTATATGCATGTTCATGTATAATCTCGTCTGAAATATATTCAAACTTGAGTTATTGATCCCAGTCGACGGTAATTGTTGACGATATTTGGAAATTATAATTATAGTAGGTTTGACTGGTTTTTTATTTCATTCCTACAAAGCATCCAAGAACTTGCCGTTTCAGAATATGGCTTACATAAAGAATGTGATTCAGTAATGAACGAATCCTGCTGACCTCGAAAATAGCTTTTACCAAAAAATATATAGCTAAGTAACCTTGGGAAGTACTAGAGCCAGTGGCGAAGGCAGCAAAACTGACGTCCTGTGAAATGCACCCCAGTCCCATCACGTGCCATACTTACTATGCTTTTACCTAAGAATCAGACTCAGACTACGCGGACCGCCTGCAATGTAAGGTATTTTTATTCATAAAACATCTCCCGCCTCTTGGGAAACAAAAAGAGTGCCGAAAAATTTAGTTGCACTTAGCAAAATTACCATAAAACATTATTACTGCTTCGAGCACGACACCAATTTATCCGAGCCGAAGCCAAACCCAGCTGAAACCCAGGACCGACTACGCGACCTAGGCTAGGCAAGAATAGTCCAAGTAGTACAGTGGAGTGCAAGTCCCAAACCTATTTGGGCCATTTCGGCTATGAAGCCAGCAAATATTTAACCTGCTGTGCAGAGTACGGAATGCGGAGAGTGGGAGCCCTGGGTTTTTCTGTTCCAGCGGAAACAACCAAATTGACCGTGGCGTCAATTTGGCTCCCGCGCCGTTGTTGCATGCATACGAGTATAATAAAATACAAATTGCAGACAATTGATTTTTCATATGATTGCTGCATTCCTTTGGGTGTGCCGAAAAGTAGGCAAAGGTTAATTGCCCTGTGCTCCGCCTGTCTGCCCCTCTGCAAGCACATATTTGAATGTCAAAGTGAAGTACAGCTAGTTATTGGCCTTGCGTCGCAGCGCTCTGCTCTCATCAGAAACGCGTTATATATACGACCAGATAAGCACCAATTCGAATGGGAGATAGGAACTTTAAATTTGCTGTTCAAATAGTTTTTACGAGAAGGAGTAACCGATTGAATTGCTTGTTTCCAAATCTATACATATTTGATATGGGAGTATGTTAGGATATACAAGTGCGAATAGGTGCCATATTCGCAAATAACTACCACAAAGAGATGCCCATGCAAATCAAATAAACATATTAAAACAATAGTTTATTTATTGAAAACAGAAACACATGTTTGCATATGCTGCTAAGTGGACAATCGGACGAACCAAACAAATAAGATTTACCAATTGAATATCTAAAATGCAAACAAGCCAAGTTGAAAAGCGAATTGGTTACAAATACATTCAAGCATCGCGTCCAGGTGATCACCGGGCCACCTGTGGTCAGGTATGCATGCAGATAAATGAATATGTGGTATTATTTTGCAGATTTACTCTGCTGAATATTCAGTTTATGCTAAAATAGGAAGAAACGCGGCTGGAGTTTATATGTGTTTTAAATATCTATTGACGTTTGACACATTTCGGTATAACTGTAGATATAATTTGCATAATTTATGCACTATTGTTCAACAATTTCATCAATTATTTTTAGTGGACTAGCTTTTAGTTAACATTTTTTAAATCGTAGGTATATATATATGTATATATGTATATATATACATATATACATATATACATATATACATATATACATATATACATATATACATATATACATATATACATATATACATATATACATATATACATATATACATATATACATATATACATATATACATATATACATATATAGTACTACATGAATATTTTGGAGCCAAGTGTAAACACAGTAAATAAATCTGTTATACAAATATCAGATTCGAGAGCTGCTGGGAAAATTTGTATTTGGCTTTTTTAAATCTACATTCAATACTACAAACAGTTTGAAGGGTAAAACAATAAAAGCATGTGCAGAGGAATGTATTTATAACTGATAAATATTTGGGGGATTGGGGCCCCTGCACTCACCTGAACGGAATGATCCAAATTATTGATGATGCGTATCACCCGACCTGCACTGCGCTTTATAGAGCCCGATGTGGTCGATAATGTGCCCAAATCCGCTTCCATTATTGAGGGCTTTCGACTGGCGGGCTTCGAGCCCCAGCCCTGATTTCCGGGCGAAGCGTACCACATGCCGTTCTTTTTACCGTAGCTGGCGGGCTGCCCACGGAAACGAAAATAAACAAATAGGAAAATACGTAAATTGTTGGAAAGTCCACCGCTGACCATATACAAATGTATATACATATACACATGCGCGTGTGTGCGTGTGTTTTTTTTTTTTTTTGTCTTTGTGTTCGTGATTGTGTATATGTTGTGGGTAGGCGTTCGTTTCGTTAAGTTGACGTCTTTTGTGAAAAATTCTCGCGCAAATCTGAAATTAATGAAATTGTTTTGCCGAACGCAAGAGACATCGTCGAAATCTGTGACACTTGTTTCGACTGATGCATATCTAAAAGTACATATATATACATAAGTACATATATGTATATATACTTATATTTATAAATAATTAGATTCATTTAGGTTTATATAAAAAAGGAATCAACATTTTAAAATCTATTACAGAATGTTTATTAAATTTTTATCCTGTGCTAATACATAATTATGAAAGATCATTGATTAGTATTCAAGTTCAAGTTCCAACACCTTGGAAGATGTACATTTTACTTATACAGATTAGCTCAAACTTAACTAAGTCGTTAACTTCACTTCCTGAACGAGTATAAAAAACATGTAAGAACGTTGCTTTCGGGCGTTACCAACTGCAGAATACTCATTCACATCCCATCAGCAATTTAGTAGCTAAGTATAGCTCTAATACTGTAGAAAATGCCGATTTGCCACGCCCCTACTGGGCTTAGACACCTCATTTTCGTTGGATGCTTACGCTTACGCTTTAAGAGGCATTTTTTGGTCATAGATAGAGGAGGTTATTAGTAACTTCACTATCCAAATACTCAGCACGAGTATATGTATCATATTTCAGGTTTATAGCATAAATACTACTCAAAATAAAGTACGGTATGAAAAATCACTATATTTTCAGGTCCGATTTGCCACGCCCCCAATGGGCGTAGATATATTCGCCATAGCTCGTGATCTTGTGTGGTCGACACGAATCTACATTCCAAATTTAAGCTTTCTAGCTCTGATTTCTGGCATATCGGAAAATGCATTTTCCGATTGGCGTATTTCCGCGTATAGTAGCTCACTCAAAACGAATTTATTGCTAGAACACAATTCAATCACTTTACTAATTGGATAAATGGATTGTTCAATTATTTCTATTGACTCAGCCGATTTAATGAGAGTCCAACCATTGAGTGTTATATATACTATACTATTATTATATATACAGTCTAACATTTTCAATGAGTTCAGAGTATACAAAATAGTGCTTAAAGTTATTCGCCAAGTGTTTAAAATGTTGCAAGGCTTTTTAAAAGGTGACAATTTAATTTGAATATCAGTGAAACGGACACTTTTCAAATTAATTTCAGGCACAAATATATTTTTAATGAAACTGCCGCAGGAGCTCTAGATTCAGAAACTCAAATTGAAAATAATCCAAATTCATTTAAAACACAATTCTTCAGCCAACATTTGTGCAATGCCTTGCGACAGGCTGACCCCAATTACGCAGCGAGGCCTGTCGAGACGAAATATACTTTAAATAAATAACATATATATATATATATGTATGTCTACATATATGCACGCATGTATGTTATATGTGCTGTGCATACATATCAAATCTGAATACATATGTATATATGCCCTGACGCAGCACGCACACAGGGCTCCAATCAAAATCAAGGCTCTTAATTGAAATTCAACAAAATGCTGTACAATCGCAGCATTGGCTTTGAGTGCTAAAAGCGAATTGTATCAACCACGTTCTCAAACATTTTTTCCGAGTGCGAAATCTCACATTGGAATATATGAATTTCAATAAATAAATAATAATGGCACTAAGTGTGAATATAATGGGTTTCCCTTCCAAGTCTATTTAATACGCCACAGACTCGATTCAATGGGCGCGTAGAGCAGCAGTCATAAAGCAAATGAGTGTTTCGTGCGGAGTTATCATGAGCTGCTCTAATGGTTTAGTATTTTTATGGCTGGTCGAATTTTTATTATTCGATAAATAATAACAATTAAGAAAGCTCTAGTCGAGACTGATCGACTAGGAGATACCCTGAACCCTCTAAGCTGATACTCTACTCATTCTGCACTTCCTTTATGCACACATTCAAGTCTCTAGCTTCAATAGCGCCGAAATAAACTGCGTTCATACGGACAGACGGACGGACGGTCGGACAGCAAGACGGACAATGCACAAAACTAATATACTAATTCCCTTTCGTGAATGAGTATAATAATTCACTTTTGTGAATGAGTATAAAAACGAAGGCAATTTTTCGACTATTCTCGATAAAGAAGTTATCGGATGAGTTATCGAAAATATGATAAACTTGTACTGCGTATGGTGCACACGAGTATGCATGCCAAATTTCAGCTTTCTAGCTCTTATAGCTTCTGAGATCCTTTTGCTCATACGGACGGACAGACGGACAGGGCTATATCGACTCAGCTCGTCGTCCTGATCAATAATATATATACTTTATGGGTTCTGCGATGATTCCTTCTGCCCGTTACATAGTTTTCCGCAATACCATTATACCCTGATTTCCCATTTTCAATGGGTTCAGGGTATAAAAACTTTGCAGTCGGGCGTTACCCACCGCAGAAACTCATTCTCAGCCCATTTTCATTTGAGTTTCAAGCTCTAATACTGTAGAAAATTCCCGATTTGCCACGCCCTCACAGGATATTTTTCAATATGTCTCGCCCTAAATAGCAACTATCCAAATTTAAAGCTTCTAGCTCCTAAACTAAGCCCCTTTGGTCGTGGCCAGCCCAAGCGGACGGACAGTAAGACGGATATAAGTTAACAACAAATATATTTTTCAAGTTAAAAACAAAAATATTCTGCATTGCAACAAAACCCAATGGGAATTGTTGCAACACAAATAAAACGTAACAAGCTGATCAGACCAATAAGCCAAAACTGCTGACACCATGTCTAGCGGACTTCCTGCACACGCCAACCAGAGCTCCAGCAATTCCAAGAAGAATTGCACAACGGTTCAACAACACCACGAGCGACGCCGCTGCCAACGTCGTCGACTGAACCACAGCTTAGCTAGGGATAGAATTGATTTAAGTAATTTAGTTGCAAATTTGTTCTTCAATAAAGCGGACTGCATTTAAACAGCGAAATATCAAAACATCTTATTTTTTCCCGTTTTAATAAAGAAAGAACTTAACTGGCGCCCGAGCAGGGACCGGCTTCGCGCGCAATACAGCAAAACGTTTAGTACGTGCGCGATACTGCAAGTTAAAAGCAGAGTCGGTTCAAATAAAACGAAAATTCGATCGCGTTACAACACAGCAAAACGCCTGTACGAGCGCGACCGAAAATCACCAAAGCAACTCACGTCGCGTAACTTCGACGTTCGGTGAAATTCGTTAAAGGTAGTCTGGAACGTAATAGTTCGATTGCCCATCGGTGGACGGTAATCCTGTACGGCCCGCCCACAGGATACTTCAACGGAGTCTGGTCGCAGGATCCCCAGTAGGTACAACCAAAAAGGATGAAATCCGGATCAGCAGTGAAGACCGCCACATCATCATTATTGTAAGTTAGAAACATAAGAACACGAAACAAGAAACTAACAAAACTAAAACTAAAACAAATAAGTGTAATAAAATATAAGAAAAGTTTTTGAGAAAAATAAAAATTAAATAAGTGTAATAAAATATAAGAAAAATTTTTGAGAGAAATAAAAATCAAACAAGTTTAAGAAAATTTAAGAAAAATTTTTAGAAAAATAAAGAGAAAAATAAAATATTAAAAAAAAAAAAAAAAAAAAAAAAAAAAAAAAAAAAAGCGTAAAGCGATCAAATTCAAAGTGACTACAATAGTAGTATAAAATAACCCAACTTTGCGATTCCCAAGGGACCCTCCAAAGTAGAAGGGAAAAACCAGCCACTGGTCTTAATACAAAATAAAAATAAAAGCTAAATTTAAATTAAAATTTTTAAAATTAAATTAAAAATTTTATATCAGAAATTTCTTTATATTAAATTAAGTTGTACTAATGATAATCATAAACTAACACTAACTAACTAACTAAATTCAATCAAAAATCCACCTGTAAACATAAAACAATAGATCAAAGTCACAGTTGATAACGTATGGCTAACGAGAATAATTTGATTAGGCCCCCAGTGTTAGTCGAACAACCCCAAGTAGGTGCACACATTATCAATAGGCAGCAACAACGACATATAGACCGTCAGAACGAACACTTGCAGAACAGAGGCATGGCGAATAACGCAGAACAGTTGATTGCAGCCACTGTCGCTCAAATTTTGACAGAACAACTTCCGACGCTAGTGAGACAAATAGTTAACCCTTCTAGAGAATTCAATGACGTGGACGATCAGACCATAAACGACAATCAAAATTTGAACGACCTTAACAGAGTACCAGACATTGTCAAAAGTCTTAGGGAATTTTCCGGCAACAAAATCGAATTTAGCTCATGGAAAAAGAGTGTGGATCGCATACTCTCCATATATGCAAGCCAAGTTGGATCACCAATGTACTATGGTATTTTGCATACCGTGAGAAATAAGATTATCGGTCAAGCCGACGCGGCCCTCGAATCTTACAATGTTCCCCTTAATTGGAGTGCCATCTCCAAGTGTCTCACACTGCACTATGCAGATAAAAGAGATATAAATACATTAGAATACGAGATGACTATGTTAATACAGGGCAACAACCAGACAGTAGAACAGTTTTATCAGGTTGTCTATAACCAGCTGACTTTAATACTGAACAAGGTAGGATGTATGGAACTCAGTAGAGAGTCAGAACTACTCATGACGAAAATGTACAGAGAAAAAGCATTAGACACTTTCATCAGAGGTTTGAGAGGAGACTTGCCACGTATTCTTAGCATAAAGGAACCAACAGACCTTCCCTCAGCTCTCCATTTATGTTTGAAATTAGAAAATCAGAACTATAGAACAAACATAGCATTCAATAAAAGCCATCAAACAGGTCACAAAAGCGTAGCTCGAAA